CCCCCTATAGCATGACTAGTCCATCTAAGAGAAACTAGGCAATTCTGTATAAACATGGTATGTGTGTTTAGTTTTATAATAAATCAAGAAGTTCAAAGAACTTGGAGAGGAGAAAACACGAATACAGGTATACTTGAAATCACTCTATAGAAGATGGCTGCCTTCCAAAGCAAAATTACTGACCTTTCTCTTGAAGCTGAACCAGAAACAACTTCTTATGTTCCTTCGGCTTTGTAATATGTGCAGGAATATATGGATACTAAAATAACAAATGAAAATAATTTGTAGTCTTTAAGACTCACCACTCCCTATACCTCCATGCCTTTTAATTATCAACTTCTCCCATTTCAGACATTAAGCTCAAGTATCAACCTTTCTGAGACAAGTTCCTCATTTCAAATACAACTTTATTTTAATATGTATCTCATGGCTTCATTTCTTTTACTACAGGGTGCATGCACTCACTTGGGACAGAAATAGAAACAGTGAGAAAGTGAGAAAACATCCACCAACGGGGATGGCCATGCCACAACCCCTTCTCCTCCATTCTCAGCTCAAGATTTTAGGTACATACACCCAATGTTTCTTCCAAGCCTCCAGGTCTGGGAATCAAACTGCATAGTCGGCCATGTAGGATCCAGCCACATTAACTCCATGCCATCTGCTGGCCAGGCTTCATTTATTTCTTTATACATTTACTCCCCAAAGCAGTGCGAACTGCAGCGTGAAGGAGACTACCTTCTAGTCTTCCCTTTATCAGGACCTAGTACTTAACAGATGCACTAATAAATTAAGGCTTAAAGATATACAAGATAAGTAGTGGGTTGTTGGGAAGGTCGCTAGGCATTCTGCATAGAAAGATATGTCATGACTTTCCCAACAACCAAGTATTTCAGTAAACCAGTCAGCCATGCGAGAGAATTAAATAATGTAGTTGCAGGATTTAAAAATCTGGTTTTAATTAGTGTTCTTAATAAAAGTATTTTTTTAAAAAAAATACATCATTTCTAAGTTAAACGTTCTAAAATCCTGATGTGGACAGGCTTACTCTATTAAAAGTTTATAGCCTGTGAAGTGATGAACCTTGCTCTTTCTCTAAACATCCTCCATCCCCAGGCAAAACACACACACACACACACACACGCACGCACGCACACAGAGCCCATGCTTCAGTAACATCAGATGAGTAGTGTTAAGCAGAATTCTGCTGGCTGGGCAGAGCCAAATTACTAGGAAAAACAGAAAACATTTTAGAGAACTTAAAGGTACAAAGAGAATTAGCAAGGACTACCAATAACTGGGAGAATACTTATAAAGAATTGTCTATTTAATTTTATTTATCATTATTATTTTTTAAGTTACCAGAGAGACAAAGAGAGAGAATGAGAAAGTGAGAAAGCAAGCCACCAGCTCTGAGACTTGAATCATGGTTGGCCATGTGGGAGTCCAGCACCTGAACCACACACTTGCTAGCCCCATGAGAATACTTTTGACATGAAAAACAAAGAAGTCTAAGATAAGATTTCTCTTTTTCTTTCTTTTCAATTCTACTGTGTAAACTACTTCTATATCCCCCCACGATACATTCTGAAATCTATTGGGTCATCAGAAAAGTCATGAGACATTTTTGCATATAAAAAAATACATCATGAATTTTCTGATAACCCAAAACTTTTGCTTTTAGAGCTGTATTTGTGGGAAAGAGAATGAAAAAGTTCTGAAAAGAGATATAAGGGTAGACTGGAATAAAGGCAGAGCTGGCCAAAAAGAGGCATCATCATCCCCACTTTACACAGGAACTTAGACTAGAAGCTAAGTATCCTTCCCAAGATCACTTAGCTAAGTACTAAAGCAAAGATTCAACTCTATCTATTAAACTCTCATCTAATTATAACAGCCTATACTATTTTCCACTATGTTACTCATTTGGTGCTTAACCAGTATTCAAGCTAGAGTAATTATATACTAGAGCTATCCCCAGAGTACAGTGAATTGAAGCAACTGCCCCAGGCTTTGGAAGTCCCCTATAAGGTCATGAAACCCAGACACATTAGCACAATCAGAGACAGAGAGATGAAAAGTGGCTTGAATAGCAGAGGCTGTAAGACATCTGTAGTTCACAAATAGTAAAAGTTGCCAAACAATGACCAAACCTAACTGAAGGGCATTACCCGTTTTCTTGATGCTACATGTGCCTCTGTTCTCTAGTCCTGGTCTTAATGCTTAAGCCAACTGTATTTTATACAAAAAGGGAAATAATGCTGTGCTCTTTTCCCACTGACACCTAACTAAGTTTACTAAATAAACGCACAACCTTTATGTTATACCTGATACTACCAGAGTTAATTCTAGGCTTCAGAGTACTAAGGAAACTATACTAGGACCTTGGTAGGGAAGATGAATGAAGGTAATTAGGAAAGTAGCCTGGAAAGTCAGGGAGCTATTGAGTGTTTTCCTATTAGATCAAAGGAAGTTTAAAAGCAAACAAACAAACAAAAAAAAATCAGAATAATTGAACCAGAAACTTTACAATTTCCATATGGAATTGTACTTCTTGACATAGATGCATTCATGGCAATTCATTGGTCATGAGCACTAGCATCTAGGATTTGTTTCAAAATAACCCAAGGTGAGGGAAAGGGGAATGAAGCAGGAGAAGGAAGGTGCTGATGAAACAAGTGTGATCTTGAGTTGCTGTAAAAGACAGAAGACAGGAAATGGGATTCATTTACTTTTACTATTCTACTTTCGTAAACGTTTGAAAATTTCCTTTAAAATAAAAAATACTTGACTAATTTTTTTAGTATAAATTAAGAAAGTGAGGAAACGAAATTTTGAGTCAAATTCTACTTCAATATTCAGAAGTGGCTAGTATTAAATCAGTTTTCAGCTTCCTCAAATGCCTAGCAAATATAACTGAACACTGACCTGAGGAGGTTCGAAATTTGGTCTCCACCAGTTTCCAATGCAGTCATCAATGACCCAGTCCTGTAGGACTCCATCTTGTCGACCCAGTATCTGTTGAAAAGAAATTATATAGTTCAGAAAATAACTATGTATGTATTTGCATGAAAACTCTTCTTCAGTGGAGAGAATATTTTTGGCAGCGCTCCTAATAGAGACACATGGCTAATGTGCCTTCCATACACATTTCTTCTCTGTATTTTCTGTCACTCTGCCCAAGATATCCAGTATTAGTTCAAAATTAGCAATCTAGTATCAGCATAACTATAGGACCAACCTATCTCTCGTATGATTTGGCTATACACACAAAACCAGGTTTTTCACGTACTTCAGCCAATAGCATAAGACAGTTTTTCTAGAATCCAGTACAACCTCTATAAATCACTGACTTAACCAAGTTACAAAATATGTTCAAATTTCACAATTTTCATTTTTATTAATCTGTATAGCATAACATTAAACTTACATTATTATTATTTTCTGTTTTTAAGAGAGAGATTTTTGCCACAGGATCTGTGCGCTCACCGGAGAGACAGAGAAAGGAAATGAGAAATCACCCCCCAGGGGGGATGGTCACGCTGCAATCCCTTCCCCTACACTCTCATCTCAGGATTTTGGGCACACACGCACATACACCTGGCATGAGTTTTAAGCTGCCATATCCAGACTTGAACCAAGGTCAACTACATGGGAGTCCAGTTACATAACCATTAAGCCATCTGCTAGTCCCATAAACTTAACATTCTTTCAATCAAAGTTATACTCTACAAATGTGAACCAATCAAAATGGCTCTAAGTTTTATTTTTCGAAGAAATATTTATTAAATTTTATTATTATTTTTTAATCTGACCAGAGAGAGAAAGTGAGAAAACAAGCCTCCAGGTCTGGTACTTGAACCATGGTTAGCCATGTAGGATGCCAGTGCCTCAAAAACCACGCCACCTGCTGGTCACTTTACAAGGTTCTTAATAAAAATAAACAGTCCCTGTTCCACTTCATACATTCCCATTGGTTATTAACTTTTAGCTCTTAGTTGTTTTTCCCAATATTTGCCTCTCTCTTAAAAAGCATTCTTTTTGTTTTTAAACAAACTATTTTAAACTAGTTTTACATTTACAGAAAACCTGCAAAGATGATATAGACCTACCCTACACCTAGTTTCTCCTATGACTAATGTCCAATGATAGTGCAGCACATTTGGCACAATGAAGTAACCAGTACCATTACTAATTGAATCCATACTTTACCCAGGCGTTCTTAGTTTTTACCTAAAGCCCTTTTTCAGTCCCAGGACACCGCATTATATTTTGTCACCACTTCTCCTGAGACTCCTCTAGATTGGGACAACTACTTAGATTTCCTTTATTTTTTATGATCTTGAGTTTTAAGGAGTATGCTCCTAAATTACAGATGATAGATATTTGAGGAGGAAGACCACAGAGGTAAACCATTCTTATCCCATCTTATCAAGAGCACACAGTATCACTGTAACTTACCACTAATGTTAATCGTCAGCTAACGTACTGTTTATACCATGTAAGGTTACATGTCTTAAAACATTCTTTTATGACCATTCCCTGATTACCTTTCCTTTTTCAAAAACCTAAAAACAAGGAAAACACCACCCTAACTACATCTTCTACTTCTTCCTCTACCATCCTCCTATTATCAGTATATGGTTAAGTCAGTATTTAGTATTTAGGTTAATATACTTAGGCAAGAAGGTCACCACTGAGCACTTGATAAACTATAATTGATAAAACATTTCCTGACCTGTTCAACTATCTTTTTCTTCAGTGTAACTTTCATTTCATTTACTGCTACTGAATTCACTCCTACATTCTGCAAGAGCTTAAACAACTTCTCAATTTAAACACCAATGCGTCTATCAATTCAGTATTTTCTAAAACACATCTTTCTATCACCTTGCAGCAATCCATACTAGATGTACTTTCAGCCCTGCTTCCCAGCTGGAGTTCTAGAGCTTCCCTTGGACTTTCTCCAATGTTGTTGGCTCCTCTCTAACATCCTGAGCCCTGTATCTTCTTCTTTAGTGTATTCCTTCATTTTGGTGATAAATGACCCCTAGAGCTTTCTGAGATTAAATTTTATAAAACTCTACCTCTCGAAATAAATTTAATATTTTTTTAATAACTCACTCACTCGATTTAGTGTGATTAAATGGAAAATTTGGATAGAAATCATATCTTCTCAGAATTATGATGAAAGCATGCACTATGATCATTCAGCCTCCTGTATTATTTCCAGGTAGTCTAACGCCATTTCTGACTTCGATACTTTCTATTTTACCTGTCTCCCTGCCCACCAGCACCTCCAACTTCAGAATCGTCTCTTTATCCTTACTGATCTAAAATTTCACGATACTGTGCACAGATCTTTAAACACTCATTACAAAGGGCAAGTCAGTAGGTCTTTTCAATCCCGAACTCATGTCCTTTGGGTTGGGGAAATTTTCTCTAATTAAGCTTTGTTAATAATCCCTTTCCTTCTGTTCTATCTAGTTATGATTTATGCTGACCCACTAATTTTACCTTTTTTCACTTGCGTTATTCTTATCTTCTCAGTCTACTTTATGGTAGAGGGGAACTCTATCTTTGAACTCTCTACTGGAGTTTGTTTCTGCTTTTTTAAATACGCATTGTTTTTTTGTTGTTGTTGGCTTAAGTCTTTTTAACAGTACCCTGTTTCACAGATGTAATTATCTATTATTATACTAAGAATAGTAATCACTATTCTGTCAATTGTTCAATTTTGATTCTGTTGAGTTCCTTTTGCTTCTCTTAATCACTTTCTTTCTAAGAGAGATTTTTGCTACAGGGCGTATGTGCTCACGGGAGTGGGGTGGGAGGGGGATGGATGGGGGGACAGAGAGACAGAAAGTGAGAAACCACCCCCCGAGAGATGGCCATGCTGCAATCCTTTCTCCTCCATTCTCCTCTTGGGACTTGGGGCACACACACACACACCCTGCATGAGTTTTAAGGTGCCAGGTCCAAGACTCAAGCAGTGGTCGACTACTTGGGAGTCCAACAATGTAATCATTATACTATCTGCCCTCTCTTGATTGCTTTCTGGAGCTTTCCCCAGAAGTCCATTGATATTTGGCTGTCTGCTCATAATTAAAGATGAAACAATAAAATTCTTAAAAAAAAAAAAAAATTAAAAGTCTTGCCATGCCACAATCCTCCTGCCTCAGTCTCCCAGTTGGGACCACTGGCAGGCACCACTATACCTGGCTCATTTTTTAGACAAGACATTGCTGGACTGCCCAGGCTAGTCTCAAGCTTATAATCCTCCTGCACTGGCCTCTCAAGTCACTGAAATTACCAGCATACACAACTGTGCCCAGCAATAATAGTCTTTATTTTTTTAGAATTATTTTATTTAATTTTTACTCATCACTGTTACTTATTTATTTCATTTTAATTTCAGCAGAGACTGAGAGATGCAGAAGAGAGAGAGAGAGAGGGAAAGTGAGAAAGCAAGCTGCCAGGTCCAGGACTCAAACCATGGTTAGCCATGTGGGAATCCAGCACCCCAACCACTGCACCACCTGCCAATCCCAATATCCTTTTTATTTATGTTTTTAAAGAATTACTTATTTATTTGATTCCATTATTATTACTAATTTTTAATTTGCCCAGACAGAGAGAGAAAGGAAAAGTGAGAAAGCAAGCTGTCAGATGAGGGACTCAAACAGCAGTCGGCCACGTGGCAACCCAGAGCCTTTAACCACCACACCATGTGCCGCGCCCCCTCAAGATTCTTTATTGTCACTTTTGTGTGCATGAGTGGTGGTGCTATGCTATTTCTTCAGGAAGTTTCCCAAATAGCATCAATTGAAGTTTTCCTTAGACTGGTTACAGTCTCTAGAAATAAAATCCCTAACCTTCTGCCTGAGGAATGTCAGTCTAGTAGGAGAAGTGAAGACATCGCTAGTAAGGATGGAAACTTGTACTTATCCTTTCTATCCCCGGAATTTTTGCCCTTGGTGTTCTCTATACCTGTCACTACAGAGAAGCAATCACCAGCCATTCCGTGACTAACTGTACAAAGTGAGAAAGACAGTCTATATGTGTAAGAACATGCTACATAGACTTTCCTACTTTCCCTTTCTCTCTCTCTGGTCAAATTTAACAAATAATGATGATGATAAATGAAATAAAATAATTCTTAAAAAAAAAAAAAAAAAGGTAACAATGCAAACAATCCATGCTCTCGAATGCCTCCAGTATCTGTAAATTTGGCCTCAACATCTATCTTCAGACGTAGACGTAGAATGGTTTTTTAAAAAATAGTACAACTTTGGAAAGTCTTAAAGATCTATGCACATGGTACACAACAGGAATTATTTTCTCTTATCACAATTCTACAGAGGCATACTCTGGAACAAAACTATCAGCATTCAAATCTCTACCTCTACAACATACTAGCTGAGTAACTGCATCAAGTTATTTAAACTCCCTGTGCCTCAGTTTCCTTGTAAAATAGGATTAATGATACTACCTACTTCTAGAACTGTTGTGATGATTAGAGAAGTTACTGCATGTAAAACACTTAAAATAATGTCTAGAACAGTAAGTACTCAATACATGTTGATTTTAGTCAGCTGCAGTGGCACACTGGTAATACAATATTCCACGGATGTTGAGAGGCCACATGCAAAGGTCCTGGTCTCCCTGTATAGTTGGGTGGCTGAGGTTGGATGTGAATTATGGAGGAAAATCCTGTTGGGAGTGCCTGTCTGCCTGTGTATATGTGTTTATGTCTCTCTCACAAAGAATAAAAATAAACTTAGGGAAAAAAATATTTAAATAAATTTTGTTTTTTATTTATGACTATTGCTACATCAACATTTCAATTTAAAAATTTAGAAAGTAAATTTAAGTTCTGGTGCCAGTAGGTGGCATGGTGGTAAAGGTGCTGGCTTACCATACAGCCGACAACAGTTCAAGTCTCAGACCTGGCAGTCTGCTTTCTCATTTTCCTTCTCTCTCTCTCTCTCCCTCTCTCTCTCTCTCTCTCTCCCTCTCTCTCTTTCTCTCTGGTGACCATACATAGCCTATAGCAAATTAAAAAATAATAATAAGTAAAATTAAATAAATAATTCTTTTTAAAGTGTAAGTTCAAGTGGCAGAAAATAAACACAGTAGTAACACTTTGGGTTTAAGTTATATTTATTAAAAACTAAATTTACAAAATAACCATATCCTTTTTCCAAGACATAAAAAAAGCCAATTTTTTAAAGTTGATGGCATTCAAACAGGCAATAAAATTGTCAAAGTGGTTAACAGAAAAGTACCTCTGTCATTAAGCGTTTTAGTCCTTCAACTTCATCTTCTCCTGGGTTAAGTTCACCACCAGGTCTGCATAAAGGTTAAGAATTTCAGCTTTCAACTTAATATAATTTGGGGACAATAGGAAGACACAATCATAATTATTTCTATCAAGTAACTGAATAATCTACTTCAGTGTCAATGACAAGGCAAACAAAACAGGTAAGGGAGTGAAAAGAATATGCCAGAAAGTTGAATTCAAAATGTTAATTCACCAAACTAAAAATACACAACCCAGTTTTTTTTTTTTTTTTTTGGGGGGGGAGATTTTCGCTATAGGGTGCGTGCGCTTGCCAGACAGACAGAGAGAGACATAGAGATAGAAAGCGAGAAATCACCCCCCAGAGGGGATGGTCACGTCGCAATCCCTTCTCCTCCATTCTCCTCTCGGGATCTTGGGCAAGCACTCACTCGCGCCCGGCATGAGTTTTAAGCCACCGGGTCCGGGACGCGAACCGTGGTCGACTACGTGGGCATCCAGCGACATAGCCGTTACGCTAACTGCTGGTTCCCACACAACCCAGTTTTAAACAGAATATATAACATGGTATAAACATCATTTTAACTTACGGTCACCAATTCATCCCAATCTCCTCTAAGTATATGAGACCTTTTTGTATTAGGTACTATCTAGTCAAATAGCTATGGACCAAGAGTATATTAAGAGATTTATAAGTTTAGATGATAAAATTAAACTGATAACTATAAATACACAAGCATTTTAAGGAAACACCATCCTAAATATTTTAAGAAATATTTATTGTTCTTAGTAATGCTACAAGGATATCTAGCAATCTATTCTAAGGGGTTTCTACCAAGCTCAATAACATCAATACACAGAAATATGCAGACTTTCAGTTAGAAAAACAAGTACTGCACAGGGGAAAAATTTCTCATGATTTTCTAAAGATTCCATTCATAGTAGTTCTTGCTAAAATGAATAACTAGGGCTAAAACCTTATTTCAAAGCTGTATTAACAGCAATCTTACTAAAAGTCTTCTTGCTGTTGAGTTCCAACACTTACAATTTGAAGAAAGTTGTTCCCAGCTGCAGCAGTAACACATGAGGTAGCCGGTGCTCATGTACAATCAGAACCCCTTCCACAGTCCTCCTCATTCCAATTTTATCAAACTCCTCCCTCATGCGCTGAAATCTGGCAGCAACAGAACTGTCCTTCTCATAGAGGGGTTCTTTTGTACCAAAAGTATAATTGGTAAGAGGGTACCTGTGATCCAAAGACAAATATCCTACATGAGAACTGAAGACCATAATTTACCATGACAGATAGCAATTACATGTTTAAAAAAAAAAAAATCCATGGTAAAAACTGTATACTTTGTGCTCAAGAGATAACAGGTTTAATCCAAAGTTATATAACTAGTTAATAAGACAACAGAGATTGAAATCTTCTCTCTGGAGTTTTAAAGCCAGAGCTTCCATTAGATCAAATTGCTACTCCATACTTGAACTTTCAAGCATAGATAACACTATCCTTAAGGTCCTTAAAAGCTTAGAGAAAAGGTTTTCTGGATATCCACTGGTTTTAGATACGGCTGTTACACCAACATAGCTCATGTTCCCTTGGGTTCTTTTGACTAGTAATCTCATCAGAAATTCTACTAATTACAGTGCAAATACCTACACTTTTTGTCTATACGCTGAGCCACTACTTTCTATCAATTACCCAGATTTTTCTGGCACAATTGCCCTTTCCTTTCCTGATGAGTTTTTCTACATTGTTTTCTTCCCCTCTCGACCTACTAAAAGCCTTTTCAGTCTTCTCCATTTATTCTACTCAGTATCCTCATCCTTCCCTTCTCATTAAATCTTCTATTCACTATATCTGAGTATCTTTTCTTCCTGTATCAACAATTCAAAATATGGCTCATGAACTGTTGAAGATAATTTCCATTTTGCCTAGTAAAGTCCAAATTCTTCCTTAAAGATAGTTAAAGGGTCCACATTTACATTTAATCACACATACCACCTCGTAATCCCTTGATTACAAGTCTTACAGTAAGGAAGCTTTGGTTATAAACCTTTGAGTAAGAATGCTTTGGCCAGGGCCAGTAGATGCAGTGGTTAAGGTGCTGGACTCCCACATGGCTGACTGCGGTTCAAGTCCCGGACCTGACAGCTCGCTCATGTCCCAATCTCCTCTAAGTATATGAGACCTTTTTGTATTAGGTACTATCTAGTCAAATAGCTATGGACCAAGAGTATATTAAGAGATTTATAAGTTTAGATGATAAAATTAAACTGATAACTATAAATACACAAGCATTTTAAGGAAACACCATCCTAAATATTTTAAGAAATATTTATTGTTCTTAGTAATGCTACAAGGATATCTAGCAATCTATTCTAAGGGGTTTCTACCAAGCTCAATAACATCAATACACAGAAATATGCAGACTTTCAGTTAGAAAAACAAGTACTGCACAGGGGAAAAATTTCTCATGATTTTCTAAAGATTCCATTCATAGTAGTTCTTGCTAAAATGAATAACTAGGGCTAAAACCTTATTTCAAAGCTGTATTAACAGCAATCTTACTAAAAGTCTTCTTGCTGTTGAGTTCCAACACTTACAATTTGAAGAAAGTTGTTCCCAGCTGCAGCAGTAACACATGAGGTAGCCGGTGCTCATGTACAATCAGAACCCCTTCCACAGTCCTCCTCATTCCAATTTTATCAAACTCCTCCCTCATGCGCTGAAATCTGGCAGCAACAGAACTGTCCTTCTCATAGAGGGGTTCTTTTGTACCAAAAGTATAATTGGTAAGAGGGTACCTGTGATCCAAAGACAAATATCCTACATGAGAACTGAAGACCATAATTTACCATGACAGATAGCAATTACATGTTTAAAAAAAAAAAAATCCATGGTAAAAACTGTATACTTTGTGCTCAAGAGATAACAGGTTTAATCCAAAGTTATATAACTAGTTAATAAGACAACAGAGATTGAAATCTTCTCTCTGGAGTTTTAAAGCCAGAGCTTCCATTAGATCAAATTGCTACTCCATACTTGAACTTTCAAGCATAGATAACACTATCCTTAAGGTCCTTAAAAGCTTAGAGAAAAGGTTTTCTGGATATCCACTGGTTTTAGATACGGCTGTTACACCAACATAGCTCATGTTCCCTTGGGTTCTTTTGACTAGTAATCTCATCAGAAATTCTACTAATTACAGTGCAAATACCTACACTTTTTGTCTATACGCTGAGCCACTACTTTCTATCAATTACCCAGATTTTTCTGGCACAATTGCCCTTTCCTTTCCTGATGAGTTTTTCTACATTGTTTTCTTCCCCTCTCGACCTACTAAAAGCCTTTTCAGTCTTCTCCATTTATTCTACTCAGTATCCTCATCCTTCCCTTCTCATTAAATCTTCTATTCACTATATCTGAGTATCTTTTCTTCCTGTATCAACAATTCAAAATATGGCTCATGAACTGTTGAAGATAATTTCCATTTTGCCTAGTAAAGTCCAAATTCTTCCTTAAAGATAGTTAAAGGGTCCACATTTACATTTAATCACACATACCACCTCGTAATCCCTTGATTACAAGTCTTACAGTAAGGAAGCTTTGGTTATAAACCTTTGAGTAAGAATGCTTTGGCCAGGGCCAGTAGATGCAGTGGTTAAGGTGCTGGACTCCCACATGGCTGACTGCGGTTCAAGTCCCGGACCTGACAGCTCGCTCATGTGCTTGACCACGCGCTATGTGCTCGCTCGCTCGCTCGCACTCGCTCGCGCGCTCTCTCTCTCTCTCTCTCTCTCTCTCTCTCGATCAGGTGAGCACATGTGCTCTGTAGCAAATTTTAAAATAATAATAATGACAAATAAAATTAAATAATTTGGGGGAAAAAATCCTTTGGCCACACTTGCCTATCTGCCTATTTCTACCTAGTCTTTCAAAAACCCTTGACAAGAACAATTAACAACTACCTTCCTAATCTGGTACTCAGCTATTCTTGGGGGGAAAAATAATTATGAAACAATTAAATTACTTTAATTCCAGAAGCCAAATTTTAGGCATAAGGAGCAGCTCTGCAAGGAACTAAAATATACCAATTCCGGAATACTTAGGATATAAAGAACTTCCTTGGTAGACCCAATGCTGAATCTGACACCATCATTGTTAGCCTTTATCTCACACAGCACTGTATGCCAGATATTTAAATGCTTTTCCTATATGTGGGTTCTTCAAAAAGTTTATGAAACATGTACGTTATGAAAAAACTATGTGGTTTCAAGTTTTTTGTCCTCTAATTCCATTTTCTCAAGAACTTGATGACATGCTCTCACACTTGTAGTTCTCACAACCTGAGTTAAAACTAAGGAGATTCATAACGTATCTCTGTTCCAAAAGCCAGCTCCCACACCAGTCAGGAGATGTCATCAAAAAGAAATGTCAGAATTTTCAGCTTTGAAATCAGAGTCCAAGTCCCAGCACATATTACTGTCATCATGCCCTGAGCTTCAGAAAGCACCACCCCTTATCTCCTCATCACTGTCTACCTAGCCTTGGGAACAGTGTCTGGTATGGGCACAATGGCTGGTATGAAGTAGACATTCATGCAGTATTTCCGAAAAAAAATACACTGGGGGAGAAGGAATTTGTTTTCAATACAATACAATTCACACACAAGTGAACTGAAGTTCACAACACACTGATTATTTCCAAATTTTGGGGTGGAGGCAAATTCATTTATTTGGATACGAAACAGAGAAAGTGTTTTATTTTTACCAAAATACCATTATCAGCAAATCCTTGCATTTTTAAACACTGACCAGCATACCGTGGCCACTTTCCTGCATTAAGGTCATCATCATCACTGTCTCTCAAACATGAATTCTCAGAAAGTTTTTTTTTTTTTTTTAAATTAAAAGACACATCCCAAATGCCAATTACTTGCTACAGCTGAGATTACTTTTCAGTGACCTTGAAATGTACTGGTTCTAAGTGCTTAAACAGGTGAAAATAAAGCACAGACCAAAGTGGGTTTTCTGGGGAGCAACACCGGGGGTTCTCTCCACTGTCCGAAAGCCCAAACATAATAGCATTCACACTCCCAATGGTGCTTCTGGGCGTATTGGAATGCCCTACTACGGCCAAGAGACCTGTAAAAGCACAGGGTCAGAGAGGCGGTACTGAACAGATGTATAACGTGGTGTGTTCATAACCTGAAACACTAGAGTACTTAAAACCAAAAAACAAAATAAAACACTAAACTGACGTATTATAGCTAGATCTCAAAAGACTAGCGCAAACTGAAAAATGTTAGGACGAAACTACGTTATACCATCCATATCAGAAACACGCAAAGCAACGCCATCCATGGGATGTGGAATCCTACACATTGGACTGGAAGCATAAAAAAAAACCTATTTTGATGTTGATCACCTCCGGAGAGACAGGGAAAGGATGAGTTCCATGTAAACATAACGACTCAATATTGAGGGAAAGGAAAACCGCTCCGGATAGGATTCTTTACTCCTCAGGGCTGGAAGATCAGGGAGGCGCGCAAAGAGGAGTGGGGTGGCGGAAGGCGTGGAGCCCCCGGCCGCCGGGGGCGCGCCAGGAGACTGGAGTCTGCAGGAACGCTCACGGGGACGTGGTGGCCGACCCCGCCGCGCGCGCAGGCCCGGCCGCACTTACAGATTGATGGTGCGCTCCAGGGTGAGGGGCTTGGTCTGCTGGATGTACTTGTTGCCGAACTGGTTGACCCCCCGGGGCCAGCCGGTCTGTGAGCGATTGGGTGGTACCACAGACATGCTGACGCGCTCGAGCTCTGGAGACGAGCAGAAAAGAAAATCTTTTTCCCGTGCGGGCAGCGGTTTATCTGCGTCCCGCTCAGCAGCCGCCACCCGCCATTAACGTGAGAGCAAAAGAAGAGGCGTACGGACGCCGGAAGGGAATCCGGGTCTCTGGCGGCAGGAAGTAGAGGGGCGGCGGCCTACCAGGCCCAGCACCAATGGGCCAATCGATGGTAGAATGGCCGCAGTATCGGGAGCTTCCATTGGTTAAACGGGTATAGGTTCCGCCTTCTCTTACTTCGGTACTTCCCATTGGGTAGCACTGGGAAAGGCGCTTTCTGGGAATTGTAGTCTCTATAGTAAAGTTGCTGCTTAATCAGTGTGGCGTGGCGCTGTACCTTGTGAAGAGATGAGTGGGAAACGGCCGGCGGAGCCTGGCCCAGCTCGGGTGGGGAAAAAAGGAAAAAAGGAGGTGATGGCTGAGTTTTCGGATGCTGTCACAGAAGAAACCTTGAAAAAGCAAGTGGCTGAGGCCTGGAGTCGCCGGACGTCATTCAGTCACGGTAACCGGGTGTTCTGCTCAGGGGTCAAGAGCCCTTTGCAATAGTTCTGGGAGCGGGCTGCAAGGGAAGAGGCTCTTGGAGGACTTTGGGCACCTGCGACCTTCCTGCCGTGATTGCTAGTACCTTTCAAGATTCCAAGCTCAGTTTGAGTTTAAAAACCTGACGAGAAGAAATGTAGGCCAGAGTTTCGGGAAGCAGAACGCGTACAGGTTGTCAGTTGAATTCTGGAATCAGCGATCACTGAGTTAGACTCTTCCACTGATGGTGTGTCGTTGGGCAATGGATTTTACTTATTTTAAGCTTCAGTTCTTTATGCAAAATAGAATCATTAACGATGTTTCTTCGGAAAAATACTGGATGAGATTAATAAGCTAATACATGTAGACATGGATGTTTCCCCTAAGGATCAATCTATATTGTACATTTGGACAAATATTTGAGCGGCTACGGTGATTGTTTTTCTGCTAGGGTAACGTATGGTTGTCCCATAATAGTCTAACTGCAGCGTGTTTGAACTGCCAGAGAGCAGGCATACCTCAGCCTACTAATGTTCCCAGCCTATGGTTTGACCGCAATAAACTTGTGTAGACTGGAGGAAAGAATTCCCATTGAACTTCAGTCTCCTCTTCAAACAGCACATTATAGGATAAGAACTCTGCTTAATGAATCTTGCCTACGTTCTAAAGTTTGTCATGATTTTTGTTTCAGTTGTAAAGTGCTTTGAAAAGGTGAGTTCTGGATACCACAGATACACACAGAAAGCGATAGCTTAGTGTTTAAAGTGCAAGCTCTGTGCGATGTCTCGGTTTCTTCCTCTGCAGGATAGGGATAGCAATCTTATCCACCCAAACTCGTTGAGAAAATTAAATGGAATAATGCATGTAAAGCACCACTAGGCCTGGCACCTAGTAGGTGGTGACCCTCATTATAATTAGGGAGTAGTAATCTAGCCCTCCAGAGGCAGTGAGAAATGTTTGGGTAAAAATCAGGGAATTAGAGGTTGCCTGAACTGTTTTTTCAGAAAGAAAAATATGTAGCAACTTCCTCCAGCAGTAACTTAGGAAAAGGAAAAGCAGAGCTGAAGAGAAATTTCCAGCCAGTGTTGACACTCATTTATTTAATTTGTTACTATTTTAAGTTTGGGGAAAATTAATTAAGAGTCTAAAATATGTTTATTTCAACAAATAATCATTGAAATCCCTCCCTCTCCCCAGAAAATCCACCAAGAATCTTCAATAGTGACATCAACTATACCATCTTAAGGATTAGTATTTTAGGTACCGTATCTTTGAAAAATAGCATTGAGTAAAGCATTGGCTAAATTGAAAAGGTCAGAGTTTATAATTCTTACCTCAAATCTTAGTCTCCCCAAAATTCATTACTATCCACTTTTGTTTTCTCTTTGGTATGTGCTTGGAGATCAAAAATTCAAAATGGGGGACCAGCAGGTGGTGTAATGGTTACATCACTGGCATCCTATGTAGTTGCGGTTTAAGTGCCAGACCTGGTGACTTAAAACTAATGCCGGCATGTGTGCGTACCCAAAATCCCAAGAGGAAAATGGAGGAGAAGGAATTGTGGCATGGCCATCCCCCCTGGGGGGAGATTTCTCATTTTCTGTCTGTCTGTCTCTCTCTCTCTCTCCTTCCCTTCCTCCCCCTCCCGCCCATGTCTCTGGCAAGTGCACATGCCCTATAGCAAAAAATCTCTCTTAAAAAAAAAAAGTGGAAAAAAAACTATAAATATTTTCCTTCCACCAGAAGCCATCATCATGGACATGGACCCCTTCCTTCACTGTGTGATCCCAGACTTCATCAAAAGTCAAGACTTCTTGGAAGGGCTTCAGAAGGAACTTTTGAGCTTGGACTTCCATGAAAAGTATAATGATTTATATAAGTTCCAGCAGGTATTTATTTTCCTGTCTCATTAACTCTTCCACTTCAGAACATTATTACCTGTAAAATTATTCAGGTCTTTTAATCTTGAGGATTTAGACTGGGTTTGCCTTGGAGGTTCCTCACCTTGACATTCTTAAAAACATTCCTTCATCTAACACAAGCTTATAGAATGTTAATTTTGTGATAGGTGCTATAGCTACTATAGCTACTACTTGACAGCTCTTTTCCTCTAAGACTTTAAAATCTAAAATAATAGAGGTGATTGTAACAGAGATAGTCAAGAATAACCTTAAGCCAATAAGTAAGTATGGGGTTGTTGAAAAAGTCATGACGTATTTTTTCTATGCAAAACATGTCATTACTTTTCCGACAACCCAATATATTATAAACAAAAGAGGTTAAATGCACTTGGGGAATGATATTAGGAAAAGAGTTGTGCATTGAAAGATAAGTTTTTGAGTTCATGTCCTTGTTTTAAGTAGCTTCATGGGGTCGGCCCCATAACATAGTGGTTAGGGAGCTGGAACCTCCATGGCCAACCATGGCTCATGTCTTGGCCCTAGTGACATGAAAACCATGCTGGCGCATGTGTGTGCTTTCCTTAAATCCCAACAAGATGGAGAAATGGAGGAAAAAGGATTGCAGCTTGACCAAACCCTGCCGAGGGATGCTTTCTTTTTTCTTTTGCTCTCTTTCTCTCTTCATGTATCTGGCAAGGACACACACCCTCTAACAATTAAAAAAAAAAAAAAAAAAAAAAACTTGTAGACAAATGTTCTTAGAATAATCAAAAAGTGGAAACAACTAAATTTCCAAAAACTAATGAATGGATAAATAAAATGTAGTATACCCATACAATGGATTTTTTTTTTTTTTGAGAAGATTTTTGCTATAGGGCACATACGCTCACTAGAAAGACAGAGAGACAGAAAGCGAGAAATCACACCCCCCCCCCCCCCCCCCCGCGGCATGATTTTTAACCCCACAGCTCATCTCCTCCACTCTCCTCTTGGGATCCTGGGCACGCACATGTGCCTGGCGAGAGTTTAAGCCACCAGGTCCAGGACTGGAACTGCGGTCGACTACATAGGAGTCCAGCAATATAGCCATTACTCCAACTGCTGGTCCTGACAATGGAATATTATTCTGCCATAAAAAAAAAAAAAAAGAAGTACTGGGGCCAGCAGATGGTGTAGTGGTTAGGTCACTTGATTCCCACACGGCTGAACGCAATTCGAGTTCTGTAACTGGTGGCTTGAAAATCATGCCGATCTCAGAGGAGAATGGAGGAGGAAGGATTGCTGCATGGCCACACACACACACACCCACAGGGGGCGGCAGGAATTCTCACTTTCCCTCTCACTGATTCTGACTGTCTCTCTCACCCCAGAGAGTACACACGCTTTATGACAAAAAACTCAAAAAAATAAAAATGAAGTACTGATACTGCTGCAGTATGGATGAACTTGGAAACCATTATGCTAAGTGGAAGAAGCCAGACACAAAAGGCTCCATGTGACATGATTCCATTTATGCATCATATCCAGAGTAGGCAACTAGATCTAGACAAAAAAGTAGATCAATGTTGCCGGGAGCTGGGGAAAGAGAGAATGGCGAATGACTTCTTAATAGCTACAGGGTTTCTTTCTTCAGTGTTTAAAAGTTCTGGAAGTGGATAATTAGAAGGTGCTGGTGGTTACACCACATTGTGCATATACTGAAATCCACAAAATTACATGCTTTCAAATGGTTAAAATGGTAAACTTTACATTCTATGAATTTTATCTGAATAAAATAAAATACAAATGGGATCCTGTACTCCTTTGCTGAAAAACTCCTCATTTCTTTTTTCTTTAGAGAGAGAAATTTTTGCTATAGGGCACATACACTTACTGGAAAGACAGAGATAGAGAGACAGAAAGTGAGAAATCATCCCCCTGGGGGATGGCCACACCACAATCCCTTCTCCTCCATTCTCCTCTTGGGATTTTGGGCACACACCCAGCATGAGTTTTAAGCCACCAAGTCCAGGACTCAAACCATGGATGACAACATGGGAATAAGGCGTAACCATTACACCATGTGCTGGTCCAGAAAAACTCCTCATTTCTTTGAGTAAAAGAGAACAGGACTCTGAATGGCTGCATGGCCCCCGTTACCACGTTGGCCTCACCTGCTATTGCTCTCTGTTCATTTTTATTGCTCTAGCTACACTGACTCCTTGTGATATCTTGAAAAGGCCGGGCCTGTTTCAAGCTCAGGGCTGCCAGTGCTCTGCCTAGCTATCCCCCTGGCACACTTCCCAACCTCCTTCAAGTCCTTGCATCACCCGCTGAAGTCAACCCTGGCCAGCCTCTTTATAAGTGCAGACTCCTCCCCACTCTCAGCATGCCTTGTCCTTCTTTTCCTGCAGTATTTTCTTATGCATTTATCACCTTCTTTATACTGATAGTCTTCTGATTATGTGTATTGACTGTCTCCTCTAACAAGCAGATATACTTCACTCTAATTATGTACTTTAGTATTTGTTGAATTAATAAGGTACAGAGATGCTAAATAAGTTGCCCAAGTCACACAGCCACCAAATGGAGGGGCCATATATCACACTTCAGCAGTTTAGCTTCAGAGTCTAGGCTCTTAAACACTGTGTTATCTACTGTCAGTATATTCACTAAACTATTCTTAGACACGGTGTGCACGTGTGTGCGCGCACACACACACAGCATGTTTTTCAAGTCCCCGGGTCTGGTATATCCACTATAAATTCTTCCCTGGTGTGTGTAATGTATGAAAAGAATACTTTTCCTTTTTTGTTTTCCTCATGATCAAGTCTGATGATTTGAAGAAGAGGAGAGAACCTCACATCTCTGCTTTAAGGTAAGCTATCATAATACTTGGGTACCAAATGTGTATTAGGGAGAGTAGTAAGTGCTTTAAAAGTTATGTCACGTAATTGTAGTTGACATGATTATCTCATTTTGTAGAGAAGGAAATAGACTCTAAGAAATTAAGGTTACCTAGCTGAAAATTGAGGGAGCTAGTATACCATCCAAGTCTGTCTCATTCCAAGGCCCAAGTTCTCAATGATCAGATGTTCATCTTGTTAGTAATCAAATTAACGCTATTGATAAATACTAAAAACAAAGCCCCAGTGTTGACAGGTAGAGATATCTTTATACACCATTGCCATTTTCTTAGAAGATGGTTTTGAAAGATGTATCAGAACCCTTAAAAGTGAAAATATCTCAATAATTCCACTTATAGGAATTTATCCTGAGAAAATAATTAAGGATATGTTCAGAGAACCCATACAAGATTCTTTGTTGTCCTAGCATTTATAATGAAAATTATACTGTTGACCCTTGAACAACAGGTTTGAACTGTGTGGATCGACTTATGCATGGTTTGGGGTTATTTTTCTCCCCACTTAGGGCTTTTGCCATAGGGCGCATGCTTTTGTCGAGAGAGACAGACAGTGAAAGGGAAAGTGAGAAATCACACCCTGGGGAGGATGGCCATGCTGCAATCCCTTCTCCTCTCAGGATTTTGGGCATGCACGCACGTATATACTGCATGATTTTGAAGCCACTGGTTCCAGGACTTGAACCATAGTTGGCCATATGGGAATCTAGCACCTTAACCACTACTTGCTGGTCCCTAAAGTCTTTTCTTAAAATAGTGTGGGGGGGAGCAGGGGGGGAGGGCATGGTGGCTAAGGGCGCTAGACTCCCACATGACTGACCATAGTCCAAGTTCTGGACCTGGCGTCTTGCTTTCTCCCTTTCACACTCTCTCTCTCTCACTCTGTCTCTCTCTGAGCAAATTAAACTAACTAACTAAATAAATAAATGGAGTTAAATAAACTAATTCTTTAAAAAAATTGTGTGTGTGTAGACAGGGTCTCATTATCATGTGATTTCCCTGCCTCAGCCTCTTGAGGAGCTGTGACTGCAGGCACACCGCCAAGCTCAGTGCTTACAGACTGGGTCTCGCTGTGTTGCTCAGGCTGGCCTAGGGCTTGTCATTCTCGCCTCATCCTTCCAAGTGAGCTGGGACAAGAAGCACACCCAGTTATGCCTGGCTTTTAGGATGGGCCAGGAATCAAACCTGGGCCTCCCACAGGACTTCAGTGTGCCAGGTAGCCCGTGCTACTGTGGCTGGGCCATTTTTTTTTTTTTTATATTTTAACATTTCTGAGATCCAGTGTCTCACAGTCACTGTTACTTTAGGTCTTGGGGAAAGTCATGATGTGTTTTTCTTTGCAAAAATTCATCATGACTTTCTGAAGACCCAATATCTTAGTTTAATTGGCAACATTTTTTCTTAGTGATACATAACATAATGATACTTTCTATAATCAAAGCCTTTTTAGATGGGATGAAACACACTTTTATCCAAAGAAAAAAGCTGAAACAGTATGATCCCATTTTAAAAAGACACACAGGCTCTGCTATGGGGGCTGAGCTGGTATGGCTCTGCTGATCTGTTTGCTTAAGCAACATAGGATGGGGTTCAATTCTCAGCCCACCCTAAAAGTTTATTGTGCATTATATAGTCTGAGCTAGTTGGGAGGCTAAGTCAGGAGGACAGTGACCGAACAAAACTCTCTCTTGAACATAAAAAAAGGAAAAAGACAGATCCACATTTAGATACCTGTGTGTGTAGATTAAAAAAAGACTCGAGGGAGAGGAGAATGGAGGAGAAGGGATTGCAGCGTGACCATCCCCCCTGGGGGGTGATTTCTCGCTTTCTGTCTCTATGTCTCTGTCTGTCTGTCTGGTGAGCACACGCGCCCTACTGTGAAAATCTCTCCAAAAAAAAAAAGACTCGGGGGAAAAAAAATACGGAAAAAATGGAGAATTTTTTAAGTTTTTTTTAACTGTACTTATGTAAGATTTTTCCTAATTGGGTTTTTTGTTTTTGCTTTTGTTTGTTTGTTTGCTAGCGAGTGCATACACTCAACAGAGAGAGATAGGGAGAGAGGGTAGGAGGGAGTGAAAAGGCACCCTCCCCAGGGGCATTGGCCACACTGCAATCCCTTCTCTTCCATTCTCTTGGCATTTGGGTCACACATGCACATACACTCAGTGTGATTTTCTTTTTTTTTTGGAGAGGTTTTTGCTTTAGGGCACGTGTGCTCGCCAGAAAGACAGAGAGAGACATAGAGACAGAAAGCCAGAGAGCACCCCCCCAGGGGGGATTGCCATGCCGCAATCCCTTCTCCTCCATTCTCCTCTTGGGATCTTGGGCACGCACACACACACACCCAGCGTGAGTTTTAAGCCACCGGGTCCAGGACATGAACCGTTGTCGACTACGTGGGAGTCCAGCAACATAGCCATTACGCTAACTGCTGGTCCCCACCCAGTGTGATTTTCAAGCACCCTGGTCTGGGATTTGAACCATGCATTCAGCCGCCTAAATCACCACACACTGGCTAGCATCCTACTTTTTTCATAACAAGCATGTGCTGCTTATAATAGCTGCTTTTCATCTATATGATACACGTTTTTTTTCTTTTCTTCATTCTCTTTTTTTTCTACCCAAGCCTTCCATAGATAGTGGCAGCCTGCATGGATTCCTTCTTTCTTTCTTTCTTTTTTTTTTTTTTTTTTTGGGCAGTTTTTTTTATTTGTTT